GTAACGTTTTTTTTTAGTTCAATAGTCAGGGGTATACAGGTCCGGTTACGTACATCTTGATTAATTTTCTCTCCAATCTGATGAAAGACACATCATTCACGTCGGGACTAAGATATTTATGAAGAATAAATTTTTCATGGCCTGACCACAAAGAATTGCCAAGATTCAAACATGGAATGTCTGAGCTTACAACTTGTCCCAATTATTACTTGAGCTACTCCAAGATTCCTAGGCTTCTAAATTTTCATTTTCATCCCCATGGAAAATGTTTCAATGGGTGGTGTATTTTTTTCACTCTTTCTTGGGACTCTTGTGATGGTATTTCATGCCTAATCTTATAGAGTTCATCAATTCGTAGTTTACGATAATTTTTTTTTTTACTTGTTGATTTAGACCACATTTGGCAACAGGCCTTGCTCACTTTCAAGAGTGATATACTCAAGTTACATAGAACTGATCAGCCTATATAATCAAAGAATTGGCATGTGATAAAAATAATCTTATTATTTATCTTATAAAAATTAAAAGTCGTACTCATTTTACTAGACTATATATATATACACACACATATACGTACATACAATAATTGCTATATTGCACTAAAAAAGTTGTTATATACAGTAGTTATGTTACTGTGTCTGTCGTTGTATCACTACTAATGTGTTGTTGTGGCTGTCATTGTGGATATCACGAATATCGTAGTAGAAGATTGCTATATATGGTGGTAGTGTCATTGTGGCTGTATCTGTGAGCATGTGGATGTGTTGATATGTCATCGTAGGTATCACTTTGTCGTTATGATTTTGTCATCGTGATTGTCATCGTGTGTATGTGCCAATGTGGATGTGTTGATGTGTCACTCTGGCTGTGTCATTGTGCTATCACTATGTCGCTATGAATGTGTCACTGTGGCGGTCATCGCGTGTGTGTGTGAATATATATAAGGTGAGATGTGAGAGATACTAGGAAGAAGAGAGAGGAGAGAGAAAATATATATTCAATTGAACAATCATGTAATTACAGGACAACAATATGCCTGATCAGCTCAGGGTCAAAATAGGAAAAAAAAAAAAGATCCTACCAATCTGTTTATCAGATAGTGCATATCATGTGTCCTTAATGACTCAATTAGTTCGCGCATGTATTTATTGGCAGAATAGATTATCATTTTAGACTTGTTTATAATATCTGATGAGTTAAGTCCAAATAGTCTAATTTATGTGTTAAAGTCCAACCCCAGTTGAGGAGCCCAACCTCATTGTGATTCTACCAAGCCCAAGACAGTCCAAGACCGGTTAGACTTCTTGCTTAGCACGTCATCAAGAGGAGAGCACGGGAAGCTTAGTCCAAGGTCGGTTAGACTTCTTGCTTAGCACGTCACCAAGAGGAGAGCACGGGAAGCTTATCTGTACCACCGAAGGAAACGGTCCAATCTTTGACCACGTTTCATGAAGAGCTCCCCAACCTCCTCTTTCCGTTGAGGATAAGTCGTGATCTCCACCAAGAATAATCTCTTAGCTGCGATAAAGAAGCCTTGAGGATAAGTCACGATCTCCACAAGAATGATCTCTTAGCTGCTATAAAATAGCTCCAATCTGGTAGAGAGAAAAGGAAGATCATGCTCCATCAGAGACTTACAGAAGACGAACCGACTACCGGAGATTACTATTTTCTTTGTATCTCCATTCTCCCTCTCAAAGCTTGTATCTCCATTCTTCATACCTTTGAATCAATAAAATACCCGACGACTGAAGCCATTGAAGAGTGGACGTAGGTCGAATTGACCGAACCACAATAAATTGTGTCTTCTTTAATTTCTTCGTTGATTTCATTGCATTTATTATCTACACTTGACAGGTGGTGTGCAAAACCATTTTTGTGCATCATCAGTTTGGCGCCGTCTGTGGGAAATCGACAAAATTCTCACTCCTGAACATTATATCCATTAACTAATGGCGATCACTACTTGATCCATGAACCAACATGAAGACAATCCTCCACGAGAGGAAGAGGTTGCTCCCTCGCCTATCAACCCTGTTCCGGATACTCTAGCCCCGAATTCCCAACAAATATTGGAGACCATGCAGCAACTGGTTGCTCAAAACCAACAGTTACTGCAACTCATACTCGCTGGACAAGGAGGAGCACCACATGGAGGTGCACAACATGGAGGACCCCAAGGTGGAGCACCACACGGAGGTGCACAACGTGGAGCACCACACGGAGGTGCACAACATAGAGCACCCCAAGGAGCTCCACATCCTGGACATCAAGAAGCACCACGGCCTGTTGCTCCACGCCCGGGTGTCCCATTGGGCACCCCACTTCGGGAAGCCCAACATGAGGGAGCTGCACCTCCCCTCCCCCTTGCTTTCCAGGGAGAGGACCCTTATCTCCAGGAGGATAAGGGTGAAAACCAAAGCATGGGGCATAGAAGCTACTTCCATGATCATTCCATAGGAGCCCCCAATCATTGGGACGAGAAAATAAAGGAGGTACAGAATCAACTTGGTGATGTCTTCAACGCCATGAAGGCACAGGGACCCGAGACTGTTGACCACCTGGTAAGGCGTACTGATACCCCTTTCAAACCTGATGTAGCAAACTACCCCCTCCCTTAGAAGTTCAAAATGCCATATGTGGAGACCTTTGATGGAACAAAGGATCCACTGGACCACCTCGACACTTACAAGACCTTGATGCAATTGCACAACGTACCAGACGAAATCATGTGCAGGGCGTTCCCAACCACATTAAAGGGGTCTGCCCGACAGTGGTTTGCTAAGCTCTCCCCCGCCTCTATTACCTCTTTTGCCGAGCTTAACAGATCATTCGTCTCACACTTCATAGGAGGGCGTCGCCACCAGAAGCCAGTTACGCACCTGCTTAGTATAAAGCAGGACCGCGAGGAGAGCCTGAGGAGTTACCTCACTTGTTTTAACGAGGAGGTACTTCAAGTTGATGAACCCGACGACAAGGTGACGATGACCGCCTTCTTGGGTGGCCTCCGTTCATCAAGTTTCCTTTTCTCGGTTCTGAAGCGCCCACCGAAGAGCATGCCAGAACTATTCACAAAAGCTCAAAGATATATGAATGCTGAGGAAATCAACAAGTTTAGGCAAGGTGAATCATCTCACAGATCACCAGAAACTTGACCTGCCTCTGCACTGTTCTCAAACAGGCAGTCTATCTCCGGCTTAGCGGCTCTCTCACGGGTCGCCAAAAAACTTAGCCTCTGTACTGTTCTCAAACAGGCAGTCTATCTCCAGTTTAGCGGCTCTCTCACGGGTCGCCAAAAAACTTGGCCTCTGCACTGTTCTCAAACAGGCAGCCTATCTCTAGTTTAACGGCTCTCTCACGGGTCGCCAAAAAACTTGGCCTCTGCACTGTTCTCAAACAGGCAGCCTATCTCCAGTTTAACGGCTCTCTCACGGGTCGCCAAAAAAAAAAAAAAAAAAACTTAGCCTCTGCACTGTTTTCAAACAGGCAGCCTATCTCCAGCTTAACGGCTCTCTCACGGGTCACCAAAAAAAAAAAACTTGGCCTCTATATTGTCAGGCAGTATACCTCAAGCTTAAAGGCTCCCTCATGGGTCGCCAAAAGCTAGGTCTCAAAAAATGTAGCTCTCTCACGAGCAGTTCTCCAAAATGGTGCCTACTTCCTCCCTTTCTTCAACCTCCACCACTCACTCTTCAAAATAAAATGGGAAAGATTTGAAGTTTAAAAAAAAAAAAAATGTAATTAATGCCTCATTCTCCAAGTCTCCTTGGACATGGGGCATTGGGGGGCAAATGATGGGTTAAGCCCAAATAGTCCAATTTATGTGTTAAAGTCCAACCCAGTTGAGGAGCCCAACCTCATTGTGATTCTACCAAACCCAAGACAGTCCAAGACCGGTTAGACTTCTTGCTTAGCACGTCATCAAGAGGAGAGCACGGGAAGCTTAGTCCAAGGTCGGTTAGACTTCTTGCTTAGCACGTCACCAAGAGGAGAGCACGGGAAGCTTATCTGTACCACCGAAGGAAACGGTCCAATCTTTGACCACGTTTCATGAAGAGCTCCCCAACCTCCTCTTTCCGTTGAGGATAAGTCGTGATCTCCACCAAGAATAATCTCTTAGCTGCGATAAAGAAGCCTTGAGGATAAGTCACGATCTCCACAAGAATGATCTCTTAGCTGCTATAAAATAGCTCCAATCTGGTAGAGAGAAAAGGAAGATCATGCTCCATCAGAGACTTACAGAAGACGAACCGACTACCGGAGATTACTATTTTCTTTGTATCTCCATTCTCCCTCTCAAAGCTTGTATCTCCATTCTCCATACCTTTGAATCAATAAAATACCCGACGACTGAAGCCATTGAAGAGTGGACGTAGGTCGAATTGACCGAACCACAATAAATTGTGTCTTCTTTAATTTCTTCGTTGATTTCATTGCATTTATTATCTACACTTGACAGGTGGTGTGCAAAATCATTTTTGTGCATCATCTATATCGACATAGGGTTTTTGGTGGCCGGTCCTATGCGGTGATCTTTTAAGTCATAAGTTCCAGACATTTTTCTTTCGGGTTTAAAGGAAATATCCATTTCAAAAGATCCATTTAGTATTATTTAAATAAAAAAAATTTAATAATATCCACATATGTATATGCTTGAAATTGTGCAATTCAAAAAAAAAAAAAAAAAAGCTTACATTATTTTTGAAAACAAAATAATCAAACACTTAACATAGACACGCTAGAAATAAACAAACACTGAATATTATTTGTTAACACAAAATAATCAAATATTAAACTTGGACTGACACTAAATTTAAGCCTAAAATGTATCCTTTAATACATTCGCATTTTACATAAATGATTAACAAAGTATTACATATATGAAAAATAAAAATTCTAATAATAAATGACGACTACGTAAAGTGCTACTAATAGAAGGCAAACATTGTAATAAACACCATTACAATTCAAACAAAGATGCCAAGCATTAGACACATGATTCAAGACACCACTTCAACAGGCTCAAAACCCTTCTCACTTGATGCCATGACACCATCCATCGCCAGTTGTGTCTTTCTACTAATGGTAGGCCAATTCTTCTTAGGCGACACACCTTTTTTGTTAATACCAGCAACCAAAATAGCAAACTCCCGTACCATGAGGGCTTCCAGAGGAAGATTTGTATCGATCGCGTGCTCACTTGGTACAAGTTCAATCCCTATAGAGAGTTTTGCAAACCTCGAGTTTGAGGCTTCATAAAATGGTGCACCTTTCTCTTGAAAAGGAATAACAAAGTCATGCACACGCAGATATCCATTTGTTCCAAGAGCTGTTATGTCCATGGTCAAATTAGTTAGGAAAGAGCAATAGAAGGTTGTTGTTTTCCCATCTGTCCAGCGTAATAAAGCACCGCAAGATAGAATCACACATGCTTCATTGGATTCAGGCAAAGGCAAAGTCGTTGCTGTTTTAGGCAGTTCATATTCATTAGCCCATAAGATTGCCCTGGTGCAGTACCACCCAGTATCATCCAAAACTCCAAGAGCATCAAAATCAGGTTTAATGCGAATGTCATTCTTGAGAAATTCTGGACCAATAACTAAAAATGTTGTGTATCTGCAGTAAAAAATTAGCCAAAAATCGTCTTCATAACATATATAGCAAACCCCAACAAAATGTTGAACATTCAATTATGTATTTACCTAACTGGGGAAAGAAGACATGGAAGATGTGAGTAACCTATTCTTTTAACCAATCTATGAATTCAGATTTCATTTTTGTGTTGCTTAGGCTTGAAATCTTAGTCTGTTGCATATGATTAACGCAATAATAGTTCTTAGAATTACTTTGTTAAATCATTTCTAATAACTGCATATAAGGATAGAAACAAAAGTGGACATGTGCTAGCAAACGAATTGAAAAGTCTATCCTCACCATCAGAACATGATCATCCCCTCACCCTGTCTTAGAACCACTCTTGACAATTGATGATACCACTGCTATGAAAATGAAACAAAATTAATAAAACAAAATCTTAACAAAGGGAAATAAGAAGAACAACAATGCAAAGACGACATACACTTGCCCCAAGCAATCTAAATCACAAACAGTAAGTACATACATCATAGCCAAGCCAAATTCACCAAGGGAGGGAGAGAGACCAAGAAATACCAAGAATCAACTTAATAAGAGCACAAATATAACTATGAACACCACCACCACAGAACAGCTGGTTATGACAAACCTAAAAGCAGAAAAATCAATACCGCATATAAACTATATGTATCAACCAAAAAAAAATACACAGAGAAATAAAAATAACTATGAACACCAGCTGCAGTGGGAAACAAACTGCATTACAATTTACATACATAAATGTGATTGAGAGAGAGAGAGAGACAGAGAGAATGAGATCCCATGTGATCGAGAGAAAGAGTGAGATCCCATGTTTCCCCAATTATCCACAGCACAAAATTAATAACCAATATCCATAAACTATATTCCACCATCAATAACCAAATTTAAACGAACACTTGACAATAAATTTCACAAAAGTCACCATCCATAAACTACCGAAATTTTACAAAATTTCAACAATCTAAAAAACTTAGTGTTTTGTGTGCACGTGTTTGCCTGATGTGTTATGTGTGTGTGTGTGTGTGTGAGTGTGTGTTTTGTGTTGTCTGAGTGTGTAGTAGAGAGGAGAGGAGGGGATGGGTATTTTGGGTAGGGTTGGGTTGTGTAGAATATTTTAATAAAAAAAATCACAGTAAATAAATAAAATTAGAAACAAAAATGAGACAAATTAGATACAGCTATAAAAGAAGAAGAGGAAAGGAAAATCCCAAAATTTTCTCCATTTTACCATAAAAAATAGTAGTCACAAAAGATCAACGCACACACATACAGAAAGAACTTTACAGTGTTTTTTGAGATTGTGTCGTGGACGAAAGTGCTGACTCACTTTGCCTTCTTTCTATAGATGTTATCTAAAAAAAAAGAAAGGAGTAAAATTTCAAATCATTGAAGCAAAACAACAAACATCTTGTCTTAACTACCATAAACTATATTTAGTGGAAATTATGTTCATCTCCCCTAAATGTCACCATGCAAAAGAGGGAAGAGAGAGAGAGAGAGAGAGACTTTTGAAATATTCTATTTTTTAATCGGTTAATTCAAGTATAAAAAAACTAAGTACACAAAATGATGCCCGAAAATTCTACTTGGCGCCATGGAAGCAAAAACAGTGTATATAGTTTACACCATGAAATTTTACATCAAATAAAGTTTAATAAAAAAACTCACAATCTCAAATTTTAGATCCCACAAAATTCAAATAAAATCGAATCGTAGCAAAATTTAAATCAAACCAAACATAGATTTGCATCAAATAAAACCTAATTAGAAAACTCACATCAAATCGAATCTAAAGTAATAAGCACAACTTTCAAACAATTTGGGCCTACTATATAATTCAAACCAAACACGACAATTGCTAATTCCAAATTCCGATAACATAATCCATATTCTGTTGCGATAGAGATAGAAGGAGCTCAAAACCATAATGCAGTAAATCCATTTAATTTTTTCCCAATATTTCTTATTCACATAATTTCTCTAAAAATATACCCTCAAAAATAATATCAACCTATGTATATAATTTTTGTAATGATAACATCAATGGTTAGTACTTGGTAAATGTCTGTTTTTTCTTAAGAAATCACATCCCAAACCAACTATTGGACTCACCATTTTTCCATAGTCCTACATTAATACAACCATTTACCAACTAATGCAACATGTCTAAAATATCATATTTGAACAATGTCCAACTCATACCTAAAATCTTGGCAATAGTACTCCTTGACAATTTCAATCATGCTAAGATGTCTTAACTACAAAAGATTGTCTTCCTCAGTATTCTCCAAACTGCAACAATTGTGTTGCTTGCGATTTATACGACCCCTGTAATCATAAAGAAACAGAACTTTAAATAACAACAAAAATTTTAAAAATTGAGAACTTGATAATTGAGGTATTTTACAGAGAAAGTGTGGTACTTCTTTCATATTTTTATTTCAATATGATACAATTTCTCTTTACTGGAATCAATGTAAAAAATTAAGGAATCCAAATGCAAAGTAACGAAAAGGGAAAAAAAGGAAGAGTGTAAAAAATATTTTTTCTTTTGCGCCGCCATAAAAAACATTTCCAAGATGCCTTTTAGAAAGGCAACCCTTTGTCAAATCAAGGTCACTCTAAATCCTCTCCACTTTTGAAGAAAGTTGTAACCCAAATTTTGTCAACTGTTTGCACAAACTTCTCTTAAGAATTCAAACAAACACTTGGTTGGCCATTGTGTGCTGTGTGGGTTTGATGAATGGGAGTGGGGCTGCAGTAGTCTCCAGCGAAGATGAGGATGCGGGTAGTGGGACATGGAGTGGGTTTATAGTGGTGTTGGTGTGTTACGGTGGAGAGGGGTGTGGGTGGGTGGTGGGTGTGTGTGCAAGTATAGCGGATGGGTTTGCGCAAAAAGGGAGATTTGCACAGAAAGGTGAGAGCTTGGGGGAGAGGGGGCGGTTGTCGGGGCTGGGTTGTGTAGAGGAGGTGAGATTAGGTGAAGGGCGAGGGTTGGTCACATAAGAGGGAGAGCTTTATTGGGGTTCGCAGAAGGAGAGAGATGGGGGGTGTTGTCTGCGTGTGTGTGGAGAGAGAGATTCAGAGAAAAGGGATACCTAGTAAAAGAGGAAGGTTGTGGGGACGGGGATGGTAGCGGTAGGGGTGGCGATGAAGCTAGAGCTGGTGAGAGAGACAGAGTAATCGTTAAAAAAAAAATGATTTGAAACATAAAACATAATTTTGATGTAAAAAGTATGTGCATTTCTAGAACATAATTCATTAAGACATTTCACCGAGCACACATTAGTACAACAATAAGCAATTCACTCTAGGCAACAAACCACTCATACATGCATTTAAAAAAAAATGTTTATGCAATTAATGATAATGAGCATGAAAATATGAATAATTGAAGCATAAAAAATCAAAAAACAGTTTGAATTCTAACCCAAGGCTATGACTTTTGTTAAACCTATTGCAACAAAACCACCAAGTATTGCAGGTTGTCATTCTGTTTCCAACCATACATCCAACCTCAACATTAAGGTGCACAACCAACGCCACGCTATTCCAAGAAAGAAATATCCACCAATTATTCCAAGCAACTTCATTTCCTCGCAGAAAAACACCAAGCCAGTGGATCAAAACGAAACAAAACAAATAAGATATCAATAAAGAATGATCAAAAAAAATTACAACTCTTGAAACTAAAAGAATAAAGACCTAAAGCCTTCAGTCACTGAACCTCACACAACTATTTAGCTAGAATTTTTACTCAACTTCAATGATAGATCAAGGAAAATGCTCTAATATCAAAGAAAATTGTAAGGGTTTTGTTACCTTTGCTTCCACTTGATGCAGAATCAATCAATGGACCCAAATGCAAAAATCAAGTATTCCATATATTTGTTTTCTATTCCAATAATATCCCACAATCAATCAAACCTAACATGAAAATCCTACAATCATAACAATAGATTTTACACATTTTACTACAATCAAAGCAACATTTTCCTTTATTATTTTCAACTTTCTTCTTCTTATTGGGCAGTATCTGTATTCAGATTTGTGCTTATTTGATCAGATATTGGGCAGTATCTGTATTCAGATTTATGCTTATTTGATCTTGTCTGATTTTGTGTTTTTGTTTTTGGAAGTTGAATTGAAGAAGCCGATCGACTTCCTATTTTTATTCTTATTTTCCCCAAATCATTTTTTGTTGGCATAGGGATCATTTTCCCGTGAGGTCTACTGCCTCTGTGTGTGAAAGAAAAAGAAGTACCTGGACTTCGTCGGCTGTAGATTGATCGGCGGTGGGTTGAGCCATGGCAGAGCAGCGAGAATGAGAGAGACAGAGAGAGGGGTCTGAGATGGGTCTTCTGAAAAAAAAGAAGAGATAGGGGAGCGTCTGGAGCGTCTGAGAAAGAGTTTGACGGGTTGGGTAACGTGCAAGTGTTGGGTCACTTTTAAGTAAGTAATTTTTTTTTTTTTTTTCTGTGATGAATTTTTAATCGTTAGATGAGATTAGATGAAATTTGGACCGCTTAAAAAAATTAAATTTAATTTGAATGTTTTTCAAAGGGACATCGGTGACCGTTGAATGAATTGAAACCACCCTATTTTATATTATAGATATCTATATAATAAAGTAGAACAGAGTTTGAATTTTGGAGACAAAGAGAGGTCGAGATCACTTTGAGACAAAACATAAACATATAACAGACAACGTAATTTTAACAAAAATATGATTCAGATCGTCTCATAAATATTGATCCGATAATCATAATTTAATTTAACTCTAACACTCCTATCTCTCATATAGTTCTCTCTCTTATCTCTTAAATATTTTAAACACACTAGCTCATCTCCTCACTCTCTCTATATATCTATATAATAAAATAGAGATGAGTTTAAATTTTAAAACTTATTTTGAATTTTTTGTGGCTCAGATCAATTCTGAATAAAAGATAAGTTATATCAAATGGTCTATCTTTTCACTAATTTTTTGTAGCTCAAATCAACTAAATAATATTGATCCTACGGATCAAATTAATAGATGATTTTTGTTTTTTCTCCCAAGCCACTTTCCATTTTTACTTCTCAAGTTTAACGCAACTCCTTCCCCAAATTCACGCCCACAAATATTCATATTTGATTCCTTAATCACATAATATCTTTATTCTCCTTCTTTTGCAGGCATATAGATCATCCCTAATTTCAATTATTACGAAATCTTCCCCTATCTTTTACCCAAATTTTCGTCCCAATTTTGGCCACACAGGTCTAAATCTTGGGCAATATTCGATTGCAGTCTCTTCTCATCTTTCCCCCCCGTCGACTCCCTCCCTCCCTCCCTTCTCACCTTCTCTCCTGTCTCGCT